CTGCCAGAGCTTCATTTGTGATACCTGAGTTACCTTCTATAGATATAATCACAGATTCCTGTGATTTCCTCTGCTGATTTAGCTCGCTGGATTTTCAGAGAAAGGCCAATCTCAGCATCTCTCTGGGCCATGACTTCATTCCTCTTCAAGCAAGCTTCTTGCTGTTTGACTTTCGTATTGCTTAATAGCAGACAGCCCATTAAAGAGCTGCTTGATTTGTGGCTGTGCAGAAGTAAGCGCTTGTACAGACAATTAAGGGGAGAATTTAATGGTATGGATTTCCCAGCAGAGTTATCAATTAGTGCGAGCTGTTTGTCAGCCGGTCGCGGTGCAGATCACAGCGGGGGCATCCCGAACGGTGGCCGATGCATTCAGCAAGGCAAAGGGTGGCTTTCATCAGGGCTTATGGTTTCCACCTTGCATTTTATGCAGAAACAGGGAAAAAAATGGATCTTTCAGTAGAGATGTCTCTTCTGGCCAGGCATTGCTGTCATTAAATACCTGGCTGCCCTGATTGCGCTGTTCTACTGTGATGGTTATGCAGTAAGCTACAAGGTGTGGATCTCTTGGCTCCCAGTGACCCCAGGTTATACCTACCCAGTTTACTAACTGAATTTCTTACCTTAGGTGGTCATAGCATTGCTTAAGTTGGCAAAGTTCTCTAAGGTCACTGAGCCCAACGATTAACCCAGCACTGCCAACCCACCACTAAACCCTGTCCCTAGTAGTGCACAGTAGAGGAGAATGGGAAGGGAGGAAAGGCCTGATTTTAGGGAGCTCTTATACTAGGAGGAAAAGGATACTTACTACGAGGCCTAACAGCTGCAAGAGGATGCTGATGAAGTTCAAAGGGGAAATGAAATACAAGTATTAACAGAAGGGATATGCAGCTCCTGAACCGTCTGCCAAGAGAGGTGGCAAAATCTCAAGGCTGTCTGCATGAGTGACCAAAGTATCTCAGGTGCCCTCTGAGACCTACCTCGCTGCTAAGCACCTCCCCAGCGTCTGCCCAAGGCTTTTTGTTGCTGAGACAAGGAAGTGGGAACTCTCTGGCCCATGCTTTGTGGGGCTCCACAGGATCTTGCTGAACATCACAATGTTGCCTTTCAATAGCCTCAGCTTCTCCATCATAGTCAAGGACAGCAATTTGCCTTCTGCCAAAAAACAAGAGGAGTTGCTATAGTTTGCCTTTTAGTTACAACTGCTGGTCCTTTGGTCACGATGACCCCCATAAATAAAAGAGCTAATTAACGCCCTTCTCCTCCCACCAGTGATTGTCTATGACCTCGAATGACCTTGCTTAATTTAACTTTCTCAACCAGCTATTTTTGACAGGGAATAATTTAACATCCTTGTGACCCCAGTCTTGCGTCTCTCCTGCCAACTGGCTCTGCAGTTTAAATGAACAGCAATAAATAAATACATATCTGCAGAGGGACCTAAATGACTCCCATTACTGGAGCATCTGAAGGCCTGCTTAAATAAATCAAGCGAGTAGGAGATTATGCTGCAATCATGTGGAGAGGGAAAGGAGAGAATACATTACTGGTATTCCAGAGGCTGCAACTCAGGGGCGAACAACTTTGCAGAATTCAGAACAATGAGGTTTAATTCAAGTGCAGATGGATGACCAGAGGCTCATTTTGTGGTATCTTCAAAGAGGAGCAGAAGACTGCAACTCAATGGGATCACCAGTGCTTAAAACTCTCACCAAGCAGCTCCTGCCTTGGGCAGGGGGCTGTTGGAGGTTGTTCCCTGCATCTCCATGCCGTGAAAGTGAGGGTATGGGCACCAGCTGCCCACCTAAAGTCATCCTCTCATTTTTATCCCCCACACATGCCCTCAGGAGGGGAGAGCTGCCCTCATAGGAGTAGGGATGTCAGGAGTGGGCACTTCTTCAACTCCCAGTGCTTTGGGCAGGCAGGTAATCACCTTGAACCACCCCAGGACCAAACCTCAGCTTGGGGGTCCCCTTCATGAGTAAGAACAACAAATATTCTGGGGAGGGAGGAAAACCTCACCAAGTGATCTGCTCTGAAATCCTAGAACGAATAATGAAATTCTATTTGTTGGAGGAAGCACCAGCTGCAATTTTTCTCCTCCACTTTGCCTTTTACCTTATTCCTACTTATTTTTGGGTTCTGGTTTTAAAGCATCACTATTTCTTCTTTCCCCCTGCACAGCCCTTGTGCCAGCCCTGTCACCATGGCCTCATTTGCATCATGCTGAGGAGCAAGGAAGCGTTGTTATAAATCGTATTTACATAATTTTCCTTCCCCTGCTGAGGCTGAAATCGAAAATGCAACTAAGTTAATCAGCAAGATCTAGGCCTGCCACGAGCACAGGCTGTGGCTCCATGTCCCTTTGGGGCCATAGGAATGTCTGGGGACCCACTCACTGCCTTAATTCAGCAGTGAGGAGCTTTTCCCTAACGTTTTCCCTAATGCTTTCCAGCCTATTAAGAAAATAAAAGCCAGGCTTCTGCTGCTGATTTGTCTCAAGGGTGAGTCCATTTTCTCTTTTTTTTTCCTTTTTCCTCCTTTTAATTCCTTCATCTGGCACTGCACAGCATCACCCATCACCCCTGTGGGTGACAAACTCCCCTCTGTGCCCATCTGTCCCCATGTCTCCAGCAGTGAGATGTTCCCCCTTAGCAGCTTTAGGGTAAAATAGGTGAAACAGTTCAGTAGGAAATTACCTATTTTCCTCCATCGCTGTTAAAGCAAGCCCACAGTGCCTAACTGGGCAGGAGGTATCTGTACTGGTGAGAGGAATGATGGATGATCATAGTAATTAATTAACACTGATGGAGTGTCTCTCAATTTAAACACATCGCAAATCAAAACAGACTCTACACTCTCCATCTCCTCACAGGGAGCAGAAGCAGCACCATCCATCCCTGCCCTAGTCTGCATGACAGCTGGATTTAGGGCTATTAATAAGATTTTGGAGTTGAAGACCTGTTTAGAGTTTACTCTTCCCCCTTCCAAATCTTCAGAGACTGAGGGTTTGTCTTTTATTTTTTTTTTTGTGAGGGGAGAGAAAAGAAGTGTATGAAACACCTGGTTTTGAGCAGCCCCAAGATCCATGGGGGAGAGGGGAAAACAAACAAGGAGAAGGAAAACATTAGAAAACAGCTTTTGCTGCCAAAGGAAGCCTTCGTGGAACTACAGATTTTTGGCTTTCCTATTCCTGTAACTAATAAATGAATTAAAATAATCGTAACACAAATATTGCATGAATTGAATAAGTAATGAAATTATAAAATTAACAGGAAAATACTAAGAACCTTAATATGGAAAGTCCAGGAGGGTTTCAGATAACGAGAAACTGGAGGAAAAGCCTGGTCCTAGAGGACATGATTTGTGGTGACCACGTACAGCTGCAGGTGACACCTTGATGGGAACAAGAGCCTGTGCCAGGCCAACGCTGCTCCGGGCACAGCCTCCTTTCTAATTTTATCACCAAAATTTCACTGCATTACCACAAATACGACAAGCAGATGTCCTTAAGCGTTCACTCTGTCGCTGGCAGGCAGCAGCTAAACCTTAGGACTCTTTCTTTTGTTGTCTGAAAGAGTCTAGGCACTATGATTTTGAACAGTTTATTCCTGTCATTTCTGAATGTTTTCTTTAATTGTTCTTCCCTTGCCATCTATTTTTGGCTTGATTTATGATAAACCATGAATAGTACCAATAAAGCTTGTGTGTCAAGTCAGCACATCAGATCAGAGCTGCCCCTGACAGAGGGTCTGTAAAACCTCACTGGCTCCTTCCTGCCAAGGGGTATGCACTTTTCTGGGGGTCATGTTTGGTTTTCCTGTCCTGAATGTGTAATGTGAGCTGGGAAAACACGCTTTCCACCAGTCTGGCCACCTTGGCCCCATTGCCTGCCCCATGATGCCCATTGCACATCGACCTCTGTGGATGTGGAGCTGGGCCAAGGACATGTCCAGCCTTTGGACCCCCCCTTTTCCCCTTCCCAGTGTCTCACTCCTCCCTCTTACAAAAGAGAAAAGGGGATTAACTTTGGTCTTGGGCAGGAAAACAGATCTCCTTCAACCCCTGTGATCATGCTCCACACCATTCCTTACTGGGGGATGTCCCCTTTGCACCCAAATCCTGCAACCCTTGATGACTCTCCCCTGCATCCTCCATGGGTTATGTCCCAATGCCCCCCAGCTGCCTGGTGTCTTCATGGCCCAGCTGATGCAGTGCATGGTGCTCCAGTTTGCCCAGTTCCAACTCCCAGTGCAAGGTCCCAGGCAGAGCCAGTGGGGCCTTGTCCTATTAATGAGTGCCAAGGCAATGCTGGTCCACATGCCAGTGCCTGGGAGGTCCCAGTGGCTAGTGCCAGTGTCCAGGTGTGCAGATGCTCATCCCAGTTCCAGTTCCCAGCTGGTGGTGCTGGTGCCAGGTCAGCCCCTGTTCCCCATTCTCCTTCTCTACCCAGGTGGTGCCAGCCCCTGTTCCCACTGATGGGCCCATTTCCCAGGTGATCCCAGGTCTTAGTGCCTGGACAATGTTGGACCCAGGTCCCGGTTTCCAGCAGGGTTCCCAGTACACCAGACTGGGTCACAGCTCCTGGACCGGCGCCAGCTAGTGCCATTCCCATTTCACACTACCGGGTGGTGCCAGTCCCCATTCCCATAGTGACTCCAGCTTTCAGCAGTGGGAGCGTCGGTTTCCGGACCCGGTTCGCATTCCCGGAGTCGGTTCCTGGTGCCAGTTCCCGGTCCCATTCCCGGTTCCCAGTGCTGGTTCCCATTCCTGGTGCCGGTTCCCGATCCCGATCCCGGTTCCCATCCCCGTTCCCAGTTCTCCTTTCAGGTTCCATTCCCAGCCTCAGTTCCCAGTCCTGTTCCCTATTCCAAGTCCCCAGCGCCAGCTCCCATTCCCACTCCCGTTCCCTGCCGGCGCGGTCCCGGGCGCAGGCGCGGCGGCGGTCCCTGCCCGCCCCGTCGGGGCGGTGCTTGCGAGAAGCGAAGCGCTGCGGGAGCGGCGCGCCCGGAGCGGCGGCACCGGCACGGGCAGCGGGCACCGGCACCAGCCCCGGACAGGTAAGGCGACCCCCGGCCCCGGGAGGGGGGGGCTCATCCCTGCGCCCTCACCGCTGCTCCGTCCGCGGGGGCGGCTCCGCGCCCCGCCCGGAGGTCCCGCCTCGTCCTCAGGGGATGCTCGGAGCACCTGTGGCTTTGGGAACCTGGGGGCAGCTGCGTTCCGGGGAGGGGAGAGGAGAGGGGGAGTGTGTGTGTCTATGTGTGCATGTATGTGTATAAGATTTCGGGGGGGGGGGAAGCCTATAGCAAGCACCCTCCTCCTCCCCCGTGTTGAGCACGCTGCTCCCCTTGGCTTTCAGCAAGCGCTGGTGTTTGGGGGTCGTGGAAGTCGGGGTGCTTGGGGCTGGTGCGTTTGAAAGTTGCACCCCGGATGGTTCAAAACCTCGCAGCAGCTCCCAGACGTCCCTGTTTCTGCTGGTGAAACCAAGCTGGACTGAAACTTTGAGCAGCGAGGCCTCAGCACTGGCTAGAGAGCAGGATTTCTGCGCTGGGAAAAAATCCTGGGGTTTCATATTGTTCCTTGTTCCATTTTTTTGGGACAAATCCAAAGTCTTATGGAAAGTTAAGGCAAGAGACAGCTCCTGCCCCTGCCAGCTCACTGCTGGGGTCCAGGAGACTGATGGCTTTTGGGCTTTCCAAGCAGAGATATAAACCCAGATTTCCCATATCTCAGGGGTGGGAGGCACCACCTCTTTCTCCCTGCCCTGAAAAACTTATTTTTGACCTGAGACACCAGCCTGATGCTTTCTAGTGGAGGGTGTCCCATTGGAAATGTCTCTGGTCTTCTATCACTCACATTCCAGTCTAGTCACTGCCAGGTGAGCATGGGCTGCTCGCTCGGCTCTGGAGATCCACCCTTGTGTGATGCTTGGGTTTATTACCAGTTATTTGTTACCAATTACCATTACATTTCTGCCTGGATGCTGCATTAGCTCTGAGCTTGGTGAGTAGTGCAGCCACGGCAAATGGAGCTGGAAGCAGAGCAGCGAAAGTCGTGGAGGATGATCTTAAATCCTGAGCTGCTTTTCTTGCTGCATCCAGCAAGGACCATGCTGCAGGCTTTCCCCAGGGTGCCTTTCCTCTCCATCCCATCTCACACCTTAAAGGGCCTCGATTCTCTGGCCAGGGTCAGCCTGGATTCCAAGTGTGCTGAACTGGTGTTATACTGGAGTGAAGGCAACATGGGGGCCCTGCAGCTGCATCTCTGACCCCACACTCTGCATGCAGGTGGTGGGTAGCTCAAGAAAGGTGCAGAGAGCCTGGCTGGGTGTGCTGCTCAAGGTAACAGTGAATTGAGGAGGGACAAACTTATGGATACAGGCGACAACAGGTATCACCTGTTGGGAGCATCCTTGGGGTAGCAAGGACCAGGGAGGGGGAAAAGCAGCAGAGTCAGGCATGGATGGAGGCACAGAGCCTGATCCAGGTGCTCACAACTTAGCTCCTGCTTGGTGCAACATCTTGCTACAGGCACGTGTCCTGGTGTGATATATTTCCCTCTGCCCTTACCGGAACCTCAGCTGCCTCCTACTTATTTAAGTAATTCTTTAATGTGAATCACCTGGGGCTCAGCTCCAGAGCATGAGCCAGGCAGCAGAGTTGTAAAACCCAAGGCAGACTGATGGATGCTCTTTGAGACCTACCACCCCTGGGAGCAGGATGTGAGATCCAAACTCCCCCTGCAATGGGTGTGTTTGTACAGATGCTGCTGTGTGCAAGGAGGCTGGCTCACTCAGTGGCTGGTGCTTGCCAGCAGCCATGCACCAGAATTGGTTGGGAAAAACTTTCTCGTTGGCAGCAGAGTTAAGGATCAAGGCACGAGTGAAAGGAAAAGCAGGTTTTGAGGAAGGCAGCAGGACTTGCTGTAGCAGGCCTTGCTCAGAGTAGAAATCAAGGCCCTTTGTCATGTCCTAAGGACACGGTGGGTGACACGCAGAAGGAATAATCCCATCTGCAAAGCCATGACATATAAAACAGGGGCAAAGTGTCATGACCAAGGCACTCAGGAGATTTGTGATGGAGTCAAGTCCACCCTGCTTTCTGCCACCAGCACCCCCGTTCTTGCATGAAATGACTTTATGTGAGGCTTTGACATGGCCACAAACCCAGGAAAATCCCACCTTGGCTGGTGTGTTCTCCACAGCATACTGTTCAAGGGAGTTCTTTTAGCTCGTGATGAACAACTGCTGTGGGCATCCTCAAGCCCCTGGGGTGGAGGAAGATGGAAACCCAGGGCTGTTACTGAAAGGGACTGACCTGTAGCTTTGCTTTCATTTTTAGGGAAAGGAGATGCTCCAGGCCTTCTTTACCTGGACATGCCAGGGCTTTACACAGTACTTGTGGGAGTATGTCAGTGGAGAAGACTTTTGCTGGGGGGGCGGCTGGGGGAGGTGACAAAGGGCACTGCTGGACAGATTAAGCCCACGCAGCAGAGCTTAAATCTTCTTAAAGCCTTTAAGGGAGGATCTGAGTTCATTCTCACTATTCGTGCTGAGATTCGCCTGCGAAGCCAAACTGAGAGGCACCATTCCTAGGAGGTGGACAAGATGCTCAGCCAGAGGGAAACGGCTGACCTCAAGAATGAGTTGCAGGGTGTGGGGGTGTCCCCTAGGACATATATCAGTCGATACAGTGGGGCACTGTGTGCCTGGGCTTTGTGCTATGTTTGGGGATTGAATCATATTGGGATAGTCGAGACTGGAGGTTTGGGGCTGTTTTGGTCCTGGATGCCCCTGGGAGCATTGCAGAAAGGCAATGGGAAACAGGGAAAGGGTATTTGTGGGACGAGGGTACGGAAGAGTTAACGTGGAAGGACCAGGCTCTGAGATCTGGTGCTTGAGAGGGATTAACTCAGCCTGGAGCAGGTGCAGGGAAAAGGGCTCTGAGGCTGCTCAGAGGGATGGAGAGCTATTATGTGAGGCTGTTTCGCCGGGCTTTTTTAAAGGCAGAGAGGGGCTGTATTTGCTGTCAAGTAAATGCATCCAAGGGGTGAACTTCAGGGAGGTAGAAGAGCTATTTGAACTGAGGGACAGTGTTGGTGTTGGGTTATGAATTTATTCAGTTTAGATTGGAAGGCTTATCTAGAGGCTCCACAACTGTATCACATCAGAGGATGGTAGGAGAGTGTGAATTAGGGCACATAACCCCTCTTACAAGCTGCGTGACCATGATATAAGGAGGATTTAGGGTTTGTTGGTGTAGGAGGCCAGGACTCTGTAGTCAAGACACCCTGTCCAGGTGTCTCCTTTGGGAAGGGCTGTGTCAGCCAAGCAGGTCTCACCATCTTGATGTGGGACGAGACCAGACATGAAACAGATGAAGCCCAGCAATGTCACAGAGATAATTTTTCATCTTTGATTATGCCTCAAAAAGAAAAAAAAATTCATCTCCCCCTTCCCTGGTTGCTGCACGGATTAATAACAAAGCATCCATGCTTTAAAGAAAGCTTTGGCTCTGATCCCAAGAGGAGATTTAAACAGTGTTCGTTCTGGGGTATGATGATACGAAGAATGGGTGCATCCTCTAAATCTGCTCATGCTTGTGCATTAATTATTGGATATTTTTGGCTGGTCCAGAAATGCCAAGATTCCTCTCCTAATTCTTTCTCCAAGCAGGGCAGCAGCAGGTTAATACGGGGAAGGACAAGGATGCAGCTGTGCCTTGAGGGTTGGGATCAGGCACTCTCTCTCCTCCTCCTCGCTAGTGTCTAGAGGTGTCAGCTCCTTTCTCTGCAGATGTCCAGAGGTGAAAGCCTCTTCAGCCCATAGAGAGGTGTCTGTCATCCTTTGTTCGTGCTGTGGTGATAGGGGGAACACTCGGGTAGCATATATTTACTTATGTCTTCATGCCTTCACCTTCACCTGTTCTTTTGAACAGCTGTGGAGCACAAAGACTCAACAACAGGCTTGCACTGACCTGCTTCGGGCCAGACTGTGCTCCTCCATCTCCTGGCCCTGCGGGCAGTGTCACGGATGGGGAACGAGGTGCAGTGATTACTCTGGCTCTGCTCACTTCCAGTTGATTACCCAGGGAGAAAGGGCCAGGCTCTGGGCACTGCAGAAAATGGACAGAGACCCAGTGGCTTCATGGAAGCTACATTTTTCACCGGTGGAGCATCTGTCTGGCTGCAGCATTAACCCTTAACCTGCCCTGAGCTCTTCCCTTCACATTGTGGAGTCTTTTCATCTCTAGCTTATTCCTACTAAATTGTCTTGCACTGTAGAAGGCACCCTAATTCTGGTGACTTGATAGGGGGATAACTTCTTGAGGTCATGGGGAAATAGGAATCATTGCCATTGAGTTTTTCACCGTCTCTGGGAAAAAGTCCTTTCTACTCTACACTCTGTGGCCAGGGAGACTTTACGGCTTATGATTTTCTGCATGATGCATTAGTTTTCAGCCAATATTGCAGATCCTCATGCTTTGGGGATCCTCCTGGGCTGGAGATGTGACAGATGATACCCCTGCAAAGCCGTGCTGGGAACCCGTGGGGTTTGCAGCATCTAGGTCAGAGACTGGCTCCTTTGGGCCTGATCCAGCCCTTCAGAGGGGCTGAACTGAGCTCCTCAGCCCCTGCCTGCAGCTTTTTTGTCCCAGTTCAATAACACTTTGATGCACTTTATCTTAAAATACTCTTCTGGCAGAAAAAAAGCTCTCCCTGCCCCTTGATTTGCCCTTGTGCAAAAATGACCAGTTTTAGTCCTTCCACCATCCATCTGAGCATCATCACTGTTTCCTCCTGTCCTGTGACTTCAATCTGTTGAGAATGAAGGTTAAAGGCAACGGGAACTATAAAGCATCCCAACCACTTTAACCCTGCCCCATGCTGGGAGGCTGAAAACCTTAAATGGGGAGCTCTGAAATGATGCATGGGAGGACGGCTCCTTCTCCTCACCATCCAGGGACTTTATCAGCTTATTGGGGCCCCCAACAGAAGAGAGACATGGACATGTTGGAATTACACCAAAAGAGGGATGAAGATGCTTAGAGGGCTGGAGAAC